CATATTTACATTAAAACTATTGTATTTAGTAATAAATGGTGTAATTGTGGACGAAATGAATTACTTATTATGTCTCATATAATATTGCATAAGTGTATGAAAAGATTGAGTTTAAGGCAAATGCTGTCAATCGGTCTCTTATAACGCATTCATTAACTAATTTGATTGTCTCTTCACTTTACCCCTAAATAAACGCTAAATTAGATAAATGTTTGCTAAATAAACATTTAAAGCGACACCACTTTAATACTGTACTAAAGATCTATACATTTTCTCTTTTTTCTTTACAAATTTGAGCCCAAATTCTTTTCAACCAATTATTTATTGTTCTCTCTATTAGTGAAACACAAGACAAAAAAGGAGAGGATTTGTAAAAGAATTTCAAAATTCAAAGCATAAGTTTTAAGAAATTCATTGAACACTTCATTATAGCGTACGATATATTATACTGTATATAAAAGAGTATATATTTTTATTCGTATGCCTGCGGTTAGAGATGTACTGTATGTGAGCCACACATACATTTCAATTTGCAAAATGTAAATTTGGTTTTTTCTTTTTGATTGATATTAAACTCAATTCTACACTACAATAGACTTTCAGGGAATATAGAGTTTGTTTCAAATGCAATCGTGAAATATCTTATATATTTGTAAAAACTAAAAGTTGGCAAAAAATACATCATTTCCGGACTGTTTAGGTTTTTGGTGTTATTTTCAGATTATTTCTGTTTTTTAAATCTGAAGACTTTATCGTATGTGAAAAAGGAGTCGATCGGCGGTTGGATCGGAAGTAAACGTATGCTTCAATAGATCGGCAAAAATTAAATTAAAAACAATTTCTAAAACCCAAAGTATTTTCCGTTTTAAAATTCTGTTCATTCGTATGTGAAATACAATTCAGACAAACCTTAAAACATCAGATTCTTAGCCAAGATATTCACATTGTTTTAATCTTTATATCGTTTGTAATAATATGTTTTCGGTGTAAGAATTGCCTTCAATCACGATATGTTGAATCGTTTTGTTTGCACAATCAAAACACAAATCAATATATTTATGGCATTTAATATTGAATTAAAGTGCATTGCTTTAACACGAAATGAATTTAAATTAAAAATAATGTCTACTGATATGGTTAAGGAAATTGTTTCATAGAATAATACTGTATTATTAATACAGAAACTAAATATAAGTGAAGATATTTGGGACGCGATCGACAATAAGAGGTGTCAAACAGAGAGTCATTTATAAATAAATATCTGACAAAATATTGAACGAAGTATTTGAAAGATTTCTATTTATTATTTCCGTATTATCCTTGTTATGGGTAGAACTTGAATGACATATAAGAGCATTATTTATATGAATTACGAAATTTAACGCCGTTTTCATGTTGTCATAGTTTTACTCATAAATCAATTATGATTTTTTAGGTGTTGACGACCAAAGTGTGGATAATATTCATAATTATTAGTTATGCTTTTAAATTATTCCGTCTGTTATTGATTTTGTGAAGAAATCTGTGACAATATTTTCGCTTTAAAACATTTGAGACATTTATTGGAATCGTATGAAAAAATTGTGCAAATTATTCATGATTTTTGAGGAGGTATTAGAATATAACGACATTTTTTTCGGTAGTCTATGACTGAGTGAAGGAATCAAAGTTTTGAGTTGAGAAGAAAAAAGATGAAGAAAAGAGAAAATAGTGTTCAATAATGTATTGGATGTGAGCCTTACTTACAATACATATCGCTTCACTGATTATAAGCATTGTATGCAATCTCTGTATATATTGTTGAACCAAGAGATGAGCGCATCATTTGTGCCATTCCTTCACAGTCTTACAAATCAATTGCATTTTGCAAATAAAATTTGTTCGCAAAAATCTATACAAAAACCTTATTATTGAATTCAATTTCATATTTTTATGCAATATTGCTATTTTTACCACTAATTAATGTCATTAAATATATGTTAACGAAACTTGTTTAACCGTTAAAATCATTTAATTTTAATTATAAATAATTTATTTTTATAAACATATCCTGAAAAACACTCATGAATTAAACACAGTTAAGTTATGATGATTGATGTGAAGTGTATTTATTTCGTTAATAGCATGTAATTAAAGTATTTATATAAAGAATTTCAAATCCAAATGATATATATAATTATGATAATTGAATTATTTGAATGCAATTACAGATATAAAGCAGGAATAGTGTAATACAAATAAATGGGATACAAATACAATGAGTAGCAGAGGTTTGCATTAATGAGTTTGGAATCATTTTTCTCGACTCTTTTGGATTGACGGCCAAAAGTGATGGTCTTTCGGGAGGTTTGCGTTGCTTTACATTTGATGAAAACGCTATTATCATTGTTTAGATGATAAAATTGAATCCTGAATCGCAAACCTATTATATTTTTAATGGAATAATGTTTCACAAAGTCTTCATTCGCCTATTTATATGGCAGAGAAGGGAATCAATGCTTCTTTTTATTGCATAGTTTTTCAAAATGATATTTTTTATCACATATTTTTCTCCCTTACCTTTTGATTATGAATAAACCATTGGAGTCGGGGCTGAGATGTTTCATAAATCATGTGAGGAATACTGCAGTTAACGTACAAATACTCTCCTAACGTGTACTTTGATTTCAGACCAGAAATTAACGGAACGCTTTCCAATTCATTTGTGCCGTTAATTATAGTCTCTTCGCTGCTAACTATTGTAATCACAACACAGTTATCACAAAATGAATTCTTATTTAAACAACTAAACTATCATTATTATATATTAATTCATTATATTATATATTGAATGCAAGTTATATAAAGTTATATATTTGGTATAGAGTAAGAAAATAGTGAGACCTTTGTGTTGAAAATCAGATTCAATATAAGCAGTACAACACAATCTAAGTCTTCCCGATATTAGATGACTTTCTTCAAGTGTGAAGTTTATGCCAGACGTGAATTCATCGGTAATATTGGCAGCGATTATGTAATATTCAGGCGATTCTTCTCCATTGATATACCATTTAATACTTGGCTTTGGCTTAGAATAGGAAGGAATGCAATACGAAGTGACCACTTCTCCGATTGAGTAAAAGGTTTTGTGTCCTTCAATGAGCGGCGGTTTTGTTGGCGGAACTGAATGTCATTAACTTTATTACCGAATGCTTTGAAAGCAAAAATTGCATTTTGTTTGCAGGAGTGGAGAGGGAATGGTATAACACTTACCAATTATAGTCATATAGCTCTCCATTCGGATGGTCTGGAAGCTGTAATCAGCGCTTACTTCACATTTATAATAGCCTTCAGATGTCAAGTCAATGTCGTATAGGTATAAGACATCTCCCGTTTCGGAGCTCTTCTCTTCATCCAAATGAACGCCGAGTACAGGATTTCGATGTACTGTCGGCTCAGGACTCGATACTAATTCAATCATTCAATTTACATCATATTTTCTCAACAAAGTTACTATCAGTTCACAAAATAAGTTTATTTTTGATCTCAACTTTAAAATTGCTATTATTTATTGAAGAGGAGTAGAGGGAGAGTGAAAGTCAATGCATGAATTATGTGTATTTAAACCTTAATTAAAATAATCAGTGAAATCGCATTTTCCGCTTAATTAACTCTAAAACAATTTTAAATACAGAGTACTTATAATTCATGAACCGATGCAACAACTGTTTTACTGTTAATCTTAGCCCTAATTAGACTTTGAAATTGAAGTTGACTTTTGAAAAGTGAACATTACATGTAATTTTCAAATGTTATCTGTCGTCGTATAGAAACTACAGTAGTATTCAGTGAAATATATTACAATACTTTCATTCATCCACATACCGTACAGTGCTGTACATCACAACAGCAGTACTCAAATGTATATAAATGCAAAATTGCACACTACTGTACAATACTGCACTTTGATTGTTCAAATTATGTCACATCACTTTAAAAATACTTTTGACAAATATCATTTCTGACCCTTTATATGCCATTCAAATGTTATATGTTTATTATACAATACATAGCATTGTAATATCTCTATATACTGTACAGTACATTACCCTGTTATTTATGATTTTCAATTTTGAATAACCTTGTTGAAATTTGCGTGAATGAAACATGGAAAAATTGCCCCATTGTCTTAAGTCACACAGCGTTATGCAATTATATGATTTTCTGAAAGATTGTTTATCTTTATGTTTGTAAAATAGTTTTAGCACTCAAAGCATATAATGGCTAAAACGACTGAAGCTATGATTAGGAATTGAAATATTGAAATATAAAGTAGAAAACATGTATAATATATAATGTAATAAAAGGTGGGATACATTGAAAACATTTTGCACACAATTTCACACTCATATTCATTTGGGTATTTGAGACATAAGTTTTATGCCATGATTTTATTTAAATAATTTAAATCAAACATTTTGCTAAAATTTAGAGATGCATTGAAACGCGGATTCTTTGACAAACAATAATTGAATTCATTGTACAAAATATATGTAAATCTCTAAAGAATTATTAGATTTGTTTTCATAAATCTATTCTTTGTATTTGAATGCGATATCCGGTGACCTATCTATCGGAGTGAACGAAAACTTTTACTTCTCTGTAGTGTTGATAATTGAATTGAAACCTAAATGTATTGGGAATTAGATGTGAAGTTTACTGGCAGTTAGTTATAGCCCGTAAAGTATTGTTTATTGGATTTATTGGGTGGAGTACTAGAACTTTGTTATCATTTATATAGTTAGTTGTTTCGTCTCTTAAACATATAGTTCTTCATAACAGTTATATTACTGTTATATTCTTGTAATTTATTGATGTTTTTACTCAAATATCATTTGTTTTACGGCCGTCTCTCTCTCTCTCTCTCTCTCTCTCTCTCTCTTTATCGTTTACTT